AACCTTGAATGAGCACTGCAGACAGAATATGTTTAATCAACATGCATATCGGCATCCTAAGATGTAAAGCAAGAAGAGTAAATTTAAGTTCTGCTAACAATCGTCAGAGGTGGCAGAGACCTAGGCATAGAAGAGAACATGACAAGCTTGTTTTCTCCACCCACTGTCAATACTAAAAACGGAACAGTGACCACTGTGGTAAACAAGACATTTCTCCCATTTCTTCTTGTCAAACTTCTTCCCAGGAGAATACAAGCTCATTTGTACACTGCTGTATTAGAAGCCGTGCACCACCCTGGCAGTATTACATTATTTTCTGCATGTTGGCCACAGCTGTAGGTTTGACAGAGAGTACTTGAACAGCTCTGCACTGACCCCAGAACATCAGCTGCTTCATTTACTTCTGTAGCAGCTACTTGCAGTAACCCATGTTTCCACAGCAGAGCTAAACTACCGGTGGCAAGGCAAGACCCTCAATTACTAACAAAGCAGCCAGTTTTGGTGGTGGACGGAAGAGCCACAAGCAGTATCTGTAAGAAAGACATTTCCTTTGCTATTGGATCAGGCCAAAAGCAAGAAAAGACAGAAGATTTACCTGAGTCAATGAGACCAACCTGGAAGAGGGCAAGTGAAGGACACACCGCCAGCAGCACTTTGGGGCAAGACAGACTGCATCACTTCCAAGCAGTTAACATGTTACCATTGAGACAAAAATGGGTGAGAAGCAAGCAGTCCTCTAAGAAAAAATACACAGAAGTGCAGGCATCCAACCAAGTTTTCATGTATAAAGTAGATGAATGGCCCAACCACAGGAGCTGACCATGAGAATAACAGCCAGTCTCCTAACTCTATTTTCAAAAACTTCTGCAGACATTTTGTCCTCCCTGTTGCGTGATATCACAAAAATATACCCGCTCTCAGTTCAAGGCCAAAGACAACCTTGGACCCAGGACACCTTCGGACAGAAGGAAGGACTCAGAACTGCAGCTCATTTCCTCAGAGAAAAAAGCTTTAAATATCTGCAAGGGTTTTCAAAATTCTAAGACTCCAGCTACAGTGAGAATGAGACAAAGCTGTTTCCAAGATAGGTTGGTCATCAGAAAAGCAGTAAAACTTAATCCAAAATAATCCTTGACTATTTCTCAGCAATGAAAACCTTATGGGGTGTTACCAACCAATAAAAACGGAAACGGAACACAGAATCGGGAAAGTAAGTCCATGGCTTCAAGTTTACTTTTTTTCTGATTTATTTTAGAAGTGTTCTCCCTTCTCAAGACAAGTTATTTTTCAGTTCGTCCCACCCTTTAATTCATTAGCGTTCACCACATGCTCCCAAAGTGGGGGAGGAGAAGAGGTGGGTAACAAATACACAAACCCAAAAACACATATGAATCAAATCCAAAGGCCTCTCCCCCTCATTGTATCCAAAAGTGTCCAGAGGGACCAGAATGAGAGAGAGATGAAGATATTACCACCTCTGGAACACAAGTAGCACCAATCAACACATTTTCACAATAGAGGGATTTTCTTACCAGGGCTTTCTCAAATTACCCTTTCTGAACAATACCATTCAAATGTTAAGTTACAGTGAACAGAACATGCAAAACTACCCAAATGAGAAGGGGAAAAGAATTACCATTATACTGATGCCTTTTTTCTTTTTTTTTTTTCCTTTTTTTTTTTTTTTTTTTTTTAATTGGGCCTAGACCATTAACCTTATTTTTTCATTCCATGATTGTCAGAGGTTTTCACCCAGTGCAATTTCAAGTTTAGCAATACGTAAGCAATAATCATGGCAAGATATAGTTTACCCTTTTTATACTGCTTTTAGGATCAAATTAGTTGACAGACGCTCCTCCGGGCAAGAATCTCCTCCTTTACTTGTTACCCACCATGCTGTGAGGTGACTTGGCCACTGCTAAGCAGCCTTCTAGCTGTAAAGCACATGCTCATGTCACCACACGTTCTAGTTCCCAGATTAAAATAATCCATAACAGGTCTCCTTAAAAGACCAAGAAAGCATTTTGGAGAACAAGACAAGATGAACGTGCAGGAATCAGGCATTCACCTAATCCCAGGAAAAAGACTTTCCAGAAGAGGTGCAAAGCCAGGCGGCAGAACGTGGAGAAACAGATACCTACGGCTGAAGAACCATCCCAGTTAAACATAGATTTTCATTTGTGGAGAAAGGAAATGGTATGCTAACAAAATGCTGTTCTTAGCCGTTCACACTTTCTCTTACTGCAACAGAAGGTAGCAAAGCCATACCAAGCCAGTCTGCTGAGCTGCACTCTTCTAGTACCCAATGAGATTCTGGTAGTGAATAAAGAAAGGTAAATATGTAATAAATTTGCTTACAGAGTTTCACTTTTTTAACACACACTGATCATTTCTTCCCTGTCTCCCCAAATACCTTAGGGCTTCAGTTTACATCAATAATGCCTTGAAACAATTCCTTTCCTTTAATTATTGCAGTAGGCAATGATAAAAAGAAGCTGAACACAGTCAGCTTCCCTCTGACATGGACGTAAGAGATACAAACATTGTACTAAGAACATTATTCATGGAAAGTTGAAGTCTGTTAAAAAACTTAATGCAGTTAGCATCAGTGATTTCATTCAATACTGTCAAAGGAGCGTTCATATTCAGGAATAACTTCTTCCATCATACCTGTCTACCAAGAAAAAAAAAAATGGTCACAGGAGTATTACGCAGAGATTTACTCCTTGCCATTGCATAGTCAGGAAGTTCTGACATTTAAGGTAACTTGAGAGTAAAGCTGTCTGTATTTGCAATTTGAAATGAGAAAGTACATCCTGCCTGTTTAAATTACTCTCAGATAGGTTGCCCAAAAAGATGATTTTAAAGATGCTCAAATGTGCACCAGCCCAAGGCTATATTGTACTTGCTTTCAGTTTCAAAGACCTCCTTTCATCTCTGAAGAATGGAATGTTGTTTACTGCTCAGGATGTTTTGTCATGTTATCATGAATGTATTACAAATGTTCTGCTACTTGAACTACAGAGTGTTTGTCAAACCATTCTTTATTCTACATGAGAAGTCTTAAGCCTTTTATAAATCCTGCTCAGATATATTGGGACACTTAAATGTCTAAGTCTAAACATCCTTCTCAAGTTTGCTATCCTGCATAATTTCACAAAAAAAGAAAAAAGGTCTGCAGAGAATTGCTTTCTGATAGCATGAAGCCTAAAGGACTAGGCACTGGAATGTAAGATTGCACACAAGAAACACAAGTAGTTTCACTGGCAGAATTACTTTCACCTACTGCCCTTACCACTCAGTCTAGTAAGGGAACTTACATGAGAAGCGTCTTAAAATACAGCACATAAATTTGTGACAATGAAACACGATCAAGGTTTATGGTCAGTTTTAGGCACGTTACATCCACGTTCTTTTAAAATGACAATGTAAATAATACATCACCACCTTTCAGTAGCAACACTTACCTGTCTCACTTTGGCACACCCTCACAAAGTTTTTAATAAAGCAGACACACTGCAGACGATGAGAAATAACTGAAAAGTACCTAACAGGCAGACTTGTTAAATATTCAGAAACAAATCTGGCAATAATTACAGAAAACCACTTCGAAGAACAGGAAGAGTTACTCGACAGAAGCTTAGGGGAAGAGGAGTAAAGGATGGGGAAAACTGTTCTTGTGCTAGGCTCATTTTTTCAAGTTTTCCCAGCAGTATTATAAAAAAAAAAAGCCACTATACCTTCAGCTTCTGTGAAAGTGCATTAAAAAACTTCAAAGAAGTGAAGAACAGCTGCTCAAAAGCTGGGAACACTGCTTTCTGCAGCTTGTTTAGATATAGATTCCTTCACTTGTGGTAAACAGGGAGTGTTCAAGGAACTAAGTGTGTCTCTACATCGGGAAGGGGGAGGGGGGAAAATTAAGAGAAACAAGTCTACCTCACCTGCTTAGAAAGTTGTCTTGCTGCTGTCCAGGCTGAGAGAAAACCTATACGACAGATGCCACCGCTGCCTCAGTTACACTGCAAATAATTGAGCTTTATACAATGTCCTTCCAGACTCCAGTATGCAAAAACATCAGAGTATTTTCAATCCTAGCATCTATATAAGCTTCCCAGGCCATAAGAATGAAAAAGACCTCAGGTTTACCAAGAACAACTTTATCACCACTTCTTCCACACAAGAGTTACTTTCCAGACTTCTGTTCACTGTGCTTGAGTCTGAGGCTTTGTGAGAAAGAGAGGCAGAACTAGCAACAACACTTGAACGACAGCCTGCGACATATTTCTCCCGTCTCCATCAAAGCTGATGATCTCTGACAGAAGCAGGCTGTCAGTCTCCTTGGAAAGATCTTCTGCAGCCCCGTAAGCTTCCCAGGTCCTGGAAACAGTTCATCTCCAGCACAACGTTAAGAGATTTGTTCAGATCAAGATTTGTTAAAAGCACCTTCAAGGCACTTTTAAAACACATCACAAGCCAGAAAAGGTGATCTGGCTCATTGCAGGAACTGAATGGCTCAGTTTTATTTATTTATTTACTCATTTTGGGGTGATCTAGCCAAGGTGAACCCACAGTGCACCTGAAAGGAGTCCCAACACATTGTGCGTGGAAAAAAGTCCACAGCCAGATGTCAAAGCAAGAGTCATTTTACAGGCCATCCAAAACAGTCACTGTGAGTTCAGCCGAGGGGCCATGACAACCGCCTGTTGTGGAAGACCACCACAGCTCCGTTACCCTCCACTACAGACAGAAGTTTCTCTGAGCCATCATTTTATTCAGTTCTTTACACACAGTCCTTTATCCACAGTTCTTCCTATACCACACAATTAAACATCCCCATCAAATTTACCAGAAACAATCCTTTCCAGTATCTAACACATGGAGTAGTTTTTTTACAGTATGTAACCAGTCATTTCATGTAAAAGAATTCTCACTTCTTCCTGTAGGGAAGGACAAAAATAATTCAGTATGAAGATACAAGAACATAAAAGTGATCTCTGTACCTCCAGCCCAGATCCAATGTTTGATGAATCCAACGGTCTCTTCTTCCTTGGTCCAATGGCTGCCAAAGCTGTAAGGTTGGCTTCTCTTTGTTGCATTTGTGCTAGCTCCAATTGTTGCATCTAATTGAAAAAGAAAACACCTCTTTTAATTATGATACACAGTATCCCAAAGGTCTTGTTCTCTTTAGGGCAGCTGCCCACAGCTCTGCAGTCCCTACTGGAACAGTGTATTTCACAGCACCTTCTCCTGTCTTTCTGTTGACAGATCCAATACCCAGTCATGCTTAGAGCCTTGAAATGCTGACGGCCCTGCAGATCACACTGGAAGTAACCCTATTTACAGAGACCTCGTTGTGGTACCAGCACAGCCTTAACAAAAGCCTTGCTGTTGGTTCCTCAGCTCATCAGCTTTGCCATTTCTGATTAACAGAAACTATTGATCAAAACTGGTCTATGAAGGCAGATGCGTCTTTGAAGTTGTCGAGTTCTGTGAACAGAGCGTCTTCCTAATTCAAAATCTCAACTCATGACTGGACAAGCAAGACGCTGAATTTTCGCATTCTGTATTACCTGAACCCAGCACTCAATACGGTCATTCCGAAACACTTATTATCCAGCTGCAGGATGGTGTCAGTTCCCTGATGTTCTTCCTTTTCCCAGTGCATATTTGAATCTTCAGGCATATCTGAAGCAACCTAGAGATACACTGCATGTATTTATTTTCACTCACCTCCAAACACAAAGAAATCCTTAGAAACAACCTCTACCTGGGTTAGGTAAGCTTGCGATGGGAGAAAAACCCATACTCAATAGGATTTAAAAAAAAAGTTTAACGTCTGTAGATGCCAGCTGCTCTGGAGCTCAACCCAGCCAAGTCTGCTAATAGACTTACTAGATTTGGCCACCTCGCTAGTGCGACCACACTGCTTTCAGATCCACCAGCTGCCCAGCGCGGAGCATGGGTGGAGGGGAGTGCTTTTGGAGAAGGAAGCTTTTCTATTTCCTCAGCTTGAGTTTGTCCTCAAACACAAACCTTTAGGTCTAGTGCTAATCCTTAAATGATCCCACATGCAACTAGAACAGCTCCTTAGCCCATGCTTTCCCCACTCCCAGGACTTCCAAAACCTGTTTGGATGAGAATTCTCTACATTCATGCAAGTCTGTGCCTTTAAAGAAAGTACAGCCATATCACTGCAAGCATCCAACTCTTCTCCTTTCCCTCCACCCCGCAAATCATTAAAAAAAAATTAACTGAAATTCTTCATTCAGTCATATTTTGCTTATTAAGCTTGTGATACCCTATGCTTTTGCTTGCTTTTCAGCTCTCAGAGACTCCACTTCGAGAAGAGAAATTCAGCTAGCCAAGAACTGAGCTTGTAGCACCTACATAGCATTACTCCCCAACTTGTTACTAATTCAGCAAGAATCTACAATAAGAAAAGACACCGTAGGGTGGGAGTAGAGGGGTGGGGGGCGTGCAGCCGGCTTTTTTTTGTTGAGAGTTCAGGTTTTTGTTTGGATTGGTTTTTGGGGTTTGGTCCTGGTTTTTTTGTTAGCTTGCTGGGGGTTTTTGGCAAGTCTATTGTTTTACTTCAGATTGGTAAACTTGTTCTTACTTTAATGATGCTGGCAGCTTCAAGCATTGCAGCCAGCTAGGCTATTTCAAGAAAAACAGTATTTCACAGTGCAAGATTCCTAAAAGGACATCCTGTCCTCTAAGACTCAAACTATACACATGTTCAAGATTTTTCAACAGAAATTAGGGAATCTAAGATTTTGACACACATATGTTGAGAGCAGTGTTTTTTTGTTTTTGTGGGTTTTTTTTTTTTTCTTTTGGAAGATGGGACAAATGATTCAGTTATGAAAACAATACCATTTGCAAGTCAGCTTTGATCACACTATGGAGGCTTTTCCTTACAGAAATGTAGTAGTACTTCTTCAATGCTAGATACCATCATTCACTTACCACGCACACAATTCTTGCTTGTGTGTGCAGTGTAAACATTTATAAAATATATTTATTAGAATTACTCCAGCACTGACTGGAGGTTATTTTTGTTTGTCTTTGTCAAAGTATATAGTACTGCTTTCAAGAATATTTTAGAGACTGTAAGGTTTTATGTTGCTTAAACCTGAAAATTACGTTTCTGCAATGGTCTGACATTACCTCCAGCTGGCCTACTTGCATAAAATATTTAAGATAAACTTCCCTTTAATCTCGGTCTTAAATGTGTGTATTTATAGTCAGGAACACACTGCAAACAATAAAGAATGGGGGGAAATAAGACTAAACCCGAAAAAGTAACTTCAAACTTCACAAATTCTGTGAAACACTGAGGCTTAGAAAGTATTTTTAGGTGACATCTTCACCACTCCCTGGAATAATCAGGAGCAATGAAACACTGCAATGCTTTGGCAGAGGCACACGCTGACTTCCAGCTGCAGCTGCCCAAGCCTCTAAGGCCGGGAGCCAGCCCCACCTCCGGGCAGCTGCGGAGCATCCCCACGGAGGTACGCCTTCCTGCTAGCGACGCAGCTCAGTCGTCACAGTGGTTGCATGTACACTTCTTGCCATGAGAAGAGGCATTACAACACGCCACGCACATGGCAGCCCTGTGGGGGCAGATTTAATTCCAAAAGGCTCCAGTGGCAAAGAAAACCAGAAGGGGAAAGATGACTTCCTTTACTTTAAGCCATTGTTACACTTAAAAGGAAAAGGACTTTTAAAACTATTAAACCAAAAAACCACAGAAGCCTTTATGAGCCTAACCTTGTGCTTCCATCCCTGGGAGTCATTATAAAACATATACCTCCTCCCCTCAACCCTACAAAACACATACAAACCAGCTTCACTGTAGTTACACGGGTCAAAAATGGGCAACTGCTGAACATTTGGTCACTGGCTTGTAGCAGCCTTGAAATAAGACCCCCTCTCCTTTTTACAGCTGATGTTGATGGGCAGCCATGGTAAAGATCAAGGACAAGAGGACGAGCTACACATTACAAACCGAGGGGGACTCTGGGTTGGCACCAGCATAGGGTGGATGGGGCTGGGTGGGCTAAATGCCTCTTGGTGAGTACCAGAACGCTGCTCTGGCTGAGGACCGGGCAGCGCCTGGGCACCGTCACCATTTACCCCAGGCAATTCAGGCTGACAACACGCACTGTCGGCGCAGACACCCTGCAGGAGCCAGCACTGCTGCTGGACAGCAGAGCTGGCAGAAAACCCACCGATACGAAGGACAGGATGACACTTGGTGGACAGTATCAAAAAGATGTGCTTTCTAGAAACAGAACCGATGCATCTTTGACCACACAGTTCCCAAGACAATGCTGGAAACGCATGTCATTACCAACATCTACTCTCCCCAACACATTTTCCACCTCATAACCAGTCCAAGGATTTTTCAAACCAGGCAGAATCTCACTAGGGTTTCGGATCAAAAGAAAAAATGAAATCATAGTGTTGTTGCATTCTAGACTTCTTGGGGATTTTTCTGAAAACATAATTAAGACAAATGAATTTAAACACTCAGTCTCCATAATGGACTCAACAGATCCCCATTAAGTGATATGGGCAGGCATCCAAATTACGCTGCTCAAGCCAGCAAAATCATCTTTTCATCAAGTTTTGTTCCATTAAAAAGTGTGAGATTAAATGTCCAAACATTGTGTGAGCAGTTAAAAGCACAGGGATAAGAAGACAGGCAGATAACATCAAGGGATACCTGAGGATACTGGCTGGCTAACTACTGCCAGGTTTTCCTAAACAAGATTAGGAAAGAGCAAGAGGCAACTATGTTGAGTCAAATCTTTCTTTAACCGACAGTTTCGTAGCTCACAAGTTAGGGCAGAAAGATCACTGCATGAAGACAGTAAAAGTAGTATATACATTTTATTAAAATATAACATAGAGAAGCTGCATTTAGTATTGTTTCCCTTCTAGCACCAAGTTTTACTAATATTGGTGTGTCTGACTAAAGTAGGTTACAAATAAGGACTGTCATACCCAGGTTTGTATCTTGAAAACAAATGATTTTTTCCCCCTTGAAGATAGAAGTGTGTAATGACAATTCACAAGGAGCAGGAGGAACCTGTGTCATACACTGGACCTACAAACTAGCAGGTTTCCCCTCAACCTGGCCTACTTCACCTGCTGAAGTATCAGGCTGTTCCATCCTGACACAGGAGTCCAACACACATTCTGTTCAAAATACATTCCTCAAGAAGGGCATTGAGCGGGAACAGACTCCAGGTAAGAAGCAAATGAATGTTCATGCTCCTTCTCCCCCCCTTCCAGTTTTTACATATGCTAAGAATCGCAGTACAAAGAGTTTTAAAAATCTGTGTATAAAGATCAAATTGCTATGAAAACGTCTCAGAACTTGTAAAACAGTCTTTGTTGCTGCTGGCCTTTTTAATAATAAAAATAGGGTTTAAAGTCTGGTCTTGCAGCAAGCAGGAATCTCTAGAGTGACACAATAACCATTTTAGTTAATCTGACCCGCAGCACAAATCAAGAAGTAAGGCATGTTTTAAAGTCCTCCCTTATAGTGAAATGGCATTTGCAGCATGGCTGTAATCACACAAAATGAAAGGTTTTAAAATTGACCTCTGTTCTTCACTCAGTCCTCTACTGAGAAAAATATTTCTGTTCCTGTTCACAGAAATTCTATCTCACTTGTGTCTCACACTCCACATTTCAGAAAATATGCAAAATCTATTTTTACTACAACACCAATGACATTTTTGTGACATTTTAATATTAAAAACTAAATTTCGAGTTGCATAAGACGACAAGAAGTACTTCAGCTATGAGATACAAGGACTTTTTCTTAAAGCAATACTGCAAGTTGGTTTTAAATCCTTTCAGCTACGAAATACACAATATGTGGTTGTTCGTATTATCAGAGCTCCAACGATTCAAGTTATGCAAATCTCAAGATTTTCCCTAAACACTGCAAGGAAGAATCCCTTAAACAGAACTGAAGAAAGAAAAAGTGTATACTCTACTACAAATAAAGTCAACTAATTCACACCAGCTAATCCATGATGTGTCTGGCAGCAGGTGGCTGTATTATCGAAGCGGGGAAACAGAAGAGCTACCCAGCTGAACG